TATGTACATAACCGACTGTACAATGAATGCTTTTGATCGTGACGAGATTTGATTATTGATGGAATTGTGAATCCAAAATAATGGTCTCACCTCTAACACTCCTGTATGACACAATTGTTTAAAGTCTTGGTTTACTTATCTTCCAGCTATATGACAGCGGTCTGGCAATCAAGTCTGGACCAGACAATCCATTGATGAACAGCATGAGCATCGATCTACGCCATTGGGATACGGAGTCAGTGAGTCTGACCACCCGATCCTGTTAGTCGCATCTTACGACAAGCATTGGTTGCTGAATACCAATTCTAACCTGGATCTTCACGGGTCTGTGAGCACAAGGGAAAATAATGCAGTTCAGGGACTGTGAGGGTGACTACTGTACTTCTGGTAAACGATAGCGGTCTTAAACAGACCAGAGAATAAAGTCCGGTTAAAACAGAATCCACTCTACCTGTGATCATGCTTGCAACAATCAGCGGAAGAACAAGCATGTTCCACATCCTCATGAATATATCCCCTGGGAGACTGATGAGTAGGATGGTGTCCCCGGAGAGATGCAGCTGACGAAATAGCAACCCGATGGTCACGCCCATGACTGCAGAGATGACGGTTAGGATGAGCAGGATGTTGGCCTTCAAACAGGTCTTTAACGCCATCTTGAAAAGTAGAATACCCTAGGTATAGTTGAAGTATCATCGAAACGTTGCGTAAGAATCGTTATGAGAGTTTCCTATATTGTTATACGTGTGTGTTTGTCACTTATAGTAATACAATCATCGTCTTGGATATTACTGATGTCATGCATCGAATGGCCTCATTGTTTCTATTTAATCACGATGCAGTGTATTACATATGCTATGTTTGGGATTGAGAAAGTGTAATCCCAAATGTAATATTACCTCAAGCTTGCAAAAACGCATTGTAGCTTTACATTCATGAGCGATGTGTTTTGAAAAATCTTCTGGCATTGACTAAAGACTATTATGTACGTTTTGCAAGATTCACACGCCTCGTGCGTTCTTTTCATTCGTTTCACAATTTTGAATAAATTATATTTGATAAAAAAGTATTTTCCTTTCACGTGTTCAAGTTTGCAAACCGCCCCAAGTATCTAGAACAGAAAACCACAATTATATGATTTCAAGTTGTTTTTCTCAGTGAAAGGACAGTTTTGGGCCTCTGCTTCAAGACAACCATTTTCCCCAGCAAAAGGGGAGCCTGACATTTTTGATTTTCGAGAAATACGTTTTAAGGAATCTTGCATGTCAAGCAAATGTCTGTTTTTTATAAACGTGAGTCAAAACTGCAACCTCTGCGGACATATTAATAGTTTAGGTGGTTAACGGGTCATTTCACCCCAAACACGTTCACCCCAGCACAGTTTCACCCCAAGTCATTTCACCCGGGTTGTTTAACCCCATACAGGTTTCACCCCATTTAGAAGTTGTTTCACCCCAGTCGATTTTTTTTACTATTTTCAACTATAAAAGTGTTTCGATATTTTATTGATCTATGTATAGTGTCGAAACATTATGTTCCAGATTGTTGGAATAATTATATATATCTATATGACATCATGTGTCATTCATATTGAATAAGACGCCGTAGTTTACCATCACGAAATAAGGTGAATGTCCTTTTGCATGACATTCATTCCCATTTCCTCTGTAACCATTCATGGTGAGCTAGCTTCCTGTTCGTATCAACAAAGGAAGCCAGTCCCTGCTGATTCCGATCGCAAAACCGGTCCTTGCTGAGGTTACTGCGCATAATAACACCAGTCACTGGCACTGAAGGTTTATCCTCGTCCACCAAGTTTCATTATCAACAAATGTGGATGTTCTTTGCACAATACTTTATTCTCTGGCATAATAAACATTTCAATACAGTGAATAGTATATTTCGTACAATAATAGGGTTCCACATAAAACTGTCAAACACGGAATGACTAGCTTCATGCTGCTGGTGTCGGAAATCGACAAGTCAGATCTGGTTATATTTAACTGATACAATACTGATATTGGGATATAACTGATATACACATGTTCAGAATATAACAGAAATATACAGCGTGACAGATAGCCACATATACAGTGGATGAACACGTGACCATGTGATGCAAAGGTATGAAACGTGATCACAATAGTGCAGTTGTCATGCTATATGCAACAGCTGTGCGTGTTTGTTACAGGTGAAATTTACAACTTCCTTGATAATGATGAATAGTAAGTAATGTGTTCAGACAGGCATGGGCCTGTTCCTGTTGACATATATATCAAATTTGTATTTTCAGCTAAAATGTGAAACACGAAAAGGCCAGTGAACCATACCCCATCAATTACCATGTAGTTTTAGCGTATCACTGGCCTAGTGTTTGTGTTACATATTCATTCCTCTACATTGTTAAACATGATTTCTTTGTAGTGCCTCATGTATGTATATATATCCCCCTGATATGTACTCCCTACCATTCACCTGATGAAGGAGCAAGCATACACTCCGAAACATCGTGTTATTCAGAATAAAGACGTTGACATCCATATATCTTGCTTTTCTTATACAAAAGTTTTGTTTCAAGTACACTACTTGAATTACTTTTATTTGTAACTGAAAGCTGTCAAAACTTTTACATACCTAATCTAGCATTGCACAATAATTTATAAAAATTGCCAAAAAAGTTGTCTTGTCAAAACTTTAGGGCAACTGCGATTGTTACCTGCGTTCGTTGAGGGTTTCCAGCAACACAAGAACAGTAGCATGTACCTGGTTGTTGTAAAACCATTGCCTATTGACCAAAGTCGCGACCCAGCTGCGCGGGCGTATTGCGCTCGTTGAATTCTTAGGAAAGAAGCTTCAACTATTCTTGCTCTGTTACGTGTAATAGCATTTATATGAAAATAAACATAAGTTGGGTGAAGTCATAGGTCCCTTTTTCACCCCCCTTGTTTATTTAAAAAAATGAAATTAAAAAGACTAAATTGATGTTGACAATCATACATGAAATGCATTCAGACACGTGACCACTGTAATGATGGCGTAAGGCACTCATTCTGTAAGCTGAATTCTGAGATATTAATTTGCTAGTGTTGGGTGAGTAATATATAAAATACTAAACGATGTCCCGTGTAATACCATATTTATGAAACTCGTGAATGGTATTGGTTTCCAACTCGCTTTTGCTCGTTAGAGACCTAACCATTCACTCGTTTCATAAATATGGTATTACATGGGACATCGTTTTATATTCTCTATGTATCCTGTAAAACCCCTGTTTGTATGTATGTGGACTTCAGTGTGTCTGTCTCTCCAACAATAGAACATATAGTTCCATCAAACGATCTTCTGAATGGTATTCTGCTCTGGAAACCATAAAAAACAGGCCATTTTGAACGGGAGCAATTTGTCGTTCCAACTGAAAAATGCTTCAAACAATATACACGATTCAAAAATAAATGTTCAGTTTTAAAAATTAATGATGTCCTTACCTTTTGGTTCACTCAGCATCGACTGATTACAATAATTACCAACAGAGGATGTGCCCAACATGGAACAGTGATTAAACCCAGACAGCATAAATTTGCATGATGGTGTCACATAGGAATAAGCAGACGTGTCGAGAATGCAAATGTGGTTAAATCCTGAGAGCCGTACAGCATTAATACATATGCTCACAGCTAAGCCTATAATATTCGATATAAGTTCGGATTAACACAAAAAGCCACACACACAGCCCATTTCATGAAGTTACGAACAGTGTTAACTTCTTGTTGATGTAAATGCGGACATTTTCAAGTATTCCACATCATTTGGTACTATTTACACGCATGCCTTGTTCTGGAACGTTTTGAAATGACTGACTGACTGACTGAGTTTTAGTTTTACGCCGCTTTTAGCAATATTCTAGCAATATCACGGCGGGGGACACCAGAAATGGGCTTAACACATTGTGCCCATGTGGGGAATCGAACCCGGGTCTTCGGCGTGACGAGCCAACGCTTTAACCACTAGGCTACTCTACCGCCCCTGTTTTGAAATGAAGAGAGTACGAATTATAATGGCAGGTTTGTTTGTTTGTTGTTTAACGCCGAACTCAGCAATGTTCCAGCGGCGGTGTATACATAATCGAGTCTGGACCAGACAATCCAGTGATCAAAAGCATGAGCATCGATCTACGCAATTGGGATACAATGACAAACAAGTCAGTGAGCCTGACCACCCGGTCCCGTTAGTCGCCTCTTACGACAAGCATGGGTTACTGAAGATCAATTCTAACCCGGATCTTCACGGCTCTGTAGGAAGAAGGGAAAATAATACAGCTCAGGGACTGTGAGTCGGTGACTACTGTGGTATACGATATCGTTCTTAAACAAACCAGAGAATAACGTCCGCTGTCCCCGTGACCATGCTTGCAACATTCAGCGGAAGCATTACCAGGTTCATTCAAGACCAATTCTAATCCGGATGTTCATGGGTATATAATGGCAGGTAAGGTGTAACGGTACAACAACACAGAGCCAAACTGTTGATATTTCCATATGTGCACAACTTGGAGTGATTTTGACACCTTATTTCAAACTATAGTTTCACACGTTTAACGCCAGTTTGGCATATATATGAAACACTAAGAGTAATACAAGGCGAAACAATGTGTATGTCAATTTATTTATTTTATTGGCCATATAGATGTATTAAAACACTTGTTTTCGCACAATATGTGAATCACTGATGGTCACTGTTAGTGTTATCACGCCGGGGGACAAGCGTGAGTGAGTAAGTGTGAGAGTGAGTTTAGGATTACGCAGCTTTTAGCAATATTCCAGCAATATAACGACCCGGATCCAAGGCGTGACGAGCGAACGCTTTAACCACCAGGCTGCCCCACCGTCCCCATGACAACTGAACTGGAGATTAACGTTTATTGTTCTTCGACGGCATATACAGTCATGTGGTGAAACGTCTTTCTGAGAATAATACAACTGTTTACAACTTTCCACGTTCAATTAAAGTGACAGAGCTTCCTCCATCTCTATCTCGTCCTGTGAGAGTGGGTTATTTTCATATCCCGAACCATTGCTGCCGTCCTGGTGGAAGAAGTGCTGGAGAATAGCTGCGCCCATACAGTCTCCATTCACATTAGTGATAGTCCTCATTCGCCCGCTGAAACACCAGAATATGGAAAATGTCACCGTCCACAAGAATGAAACACGTTAGGCCACAAACAGGCTATTTGTTTATGAAGTGAATTATGCAGGTAAATAAGGACACGATATTTCAGACTATTTTGTGCTTACAGGTGGTGTTTAGTTGACAGTGTTTGTCCTAAACAGATTGTAACCTATTGTCTTGTAGCTTAACGTACTTAAGGTTTGAATTACACAAATAGCACCTGTCAGATTCCATCTATGTTCGATTTTTACAACAAGAATGAGTCTGGAATCCAATACAAAATAAACGTCTGGACACATACAGGAATGCACAAGGTATCGACATTCGTAGATTATATTGAATGAAAGCATGTGCAGTCATCTTGAGAAGCATTTCAAACATAATCATCGAATACTGTATAAATGTGTGATAGAAATATTTGGCATGTATTCAATAGACATTGTCACTAGGGTACATAGAAGGAATGTACATTATGACTATGGGTGTGTCATTTTAAGCTGCAAATACTCACAGAAACCAATCCATGGCAAAAATGATGGAGATTTCGTTCGTTGGCAGTCCCATATTGGCTAGAAAAACCATGATGGTTACTATAGCAGCATTGGGTATACCAGCGGTCCCAATGCTGGTGAGGGTGGCAGCCACGCTGAAATGATATCATAAATAGTTTTCTCAGCAATTTGCATTTTGCATCTGATTTTAATTGTGTTATGTGTTGCATGATCACTGGTGATCTTTAACCGACGGGCAAGATCTTACTTTGGGCTACTATAGATAGCGAAGTTTCCCATTTTATCTATCCTACTTCCAGTTTCTGCATTCAACTTCTGATTGGGTCAGTTGTTGTACGGTCATCCTTGATTATAACATTGACCCGTAACCATTTGCTTCCATTTCTACGTTTGGAAAGTGACGTCACCATCTCTGTCCCTCCCCAAATCGCTCTCGTAAATGGGGTGGTTAGGCTTGCTGACTTGGTTGACAAATGTCATTGTATCCCAATTGCGTAGATCGATGATTGTGATGTTGATCACTGGGTCGTCTGCTCTAGATCCGATTATTTACAGACTATCGCCATATAGCTGGGATATTGTTGAATGTGGCGTTAAACAACAGACAAACGATGTGTATGTAAAAACGCATTTACCCAAGAGCCAAGACGTCAAGTACAGACAGGTGCACTCCACTCATCTGTGCTATATAAACTGGAGTGACGACTTGGACGATGGCAGCTCCATCCATGTTGACGGTAGCACCGATAGGTAGCACAAACCTACTGATAGTCCTGTCTATCTTAAGGTTCTTCTCACAGCAGTCGATGGTAACCGGAAGTGTTGCAGCACTGACAAATATAAACAGGATCCTTCACTACCATTCCCTGCAAACTATTTGAAGATGAATACGTTGTTCACTGGTCCCTCGGGGCCCATGGGTTGATGTACCCTCGATGTTTCTTTATGTTCATAAACAAATATCGAAGGTGCATCAGCCCATGTCCCCGTCGAAACCAGTGAACAACTTATAATGGCAAGTGTTCTCTGTTTTAAGTTCTTTGCCTCGAAGTTTCAATTATCGATTTCAACCAAGTTGTATGGGATAATATGTCTTTTATTGCATCAATAGAAGCTAAAGTGAGTACATATGCCCCGAATACATTTATTATAGGCCAAAATATTGTCGAAAATGTGTGAAATTGTGCCTTTAAATATTTACAATACTTTGATCACCGGACCGTAAACACAATACATTGTATATTCATCTATTCATAGAAATCCGTTACGTATCGCTATATTCAATAATTGATTGCAAACCTTGAATTGGTGCCCAGAGCTGTCAGAAGAGCCTGCACTACTCCCAACGTCACCTTAAAAGGGTTCTTCCGTGTCAGAATGAGGTATATCAGTGGTATTACTACAACAGTTTGCACAAAAAGACCGGCGATGCATGTGGCTAAGAACATCCCTATGTGATGAACCATCCCAGCGAGATCGGACACACTCAAGATCTTTCCAGCAATTAGGGACAGTACGCCAATGGGCGTTAACCTGTAACAGAATATGGTGTGCCATAGTTGAGTGAGTGAGTGAGTGTAATATCACGGAAGGGGACACAATATGGGCTTACCATGTGGAGAATCGAAACCGGGCCTCGAGCCATCGCTTTAACTACCAGTCTACCCAACTGCCTTTTTAAGTATATAAAATATTGTAAAGATTTTAGATTTTCAATAACTGAACTGTTAATGATTAGACGTTTTTCTATTCTTAAATCATTCAACTGACTTGCATATCTGTCAGGGTAAATGAAATGAATATTTACAACGCTTTTTAATGAAATTATCATGCAATGATTACAAATCAAATGCACAAATATACGTACGTCGCCTGCGTCAGTTTAGACACTGGTACGTGAATTATTCACTAGATATATAGGTCACTGATCATTAGTGCAGGTATTGTGTGAGTGATTTTATCATCCATATTATAGACAGCAATATCGCGGCACCTTAAAAAGCCATTACACATTATACCAATGTGGCAGTCAAACCCAGGCAACGGAAAACATGTAATAAGTTTCCTGAAGTTAGGTGAAATAGTACTTATCTTACCTCACACATAAATGTCGCTTTCTGATTGGCTGAGCGCTCTTCTATTATTTTCAATGTACCCCGTTTGCAAGCGAGTAACATTTCAATATACCCCGCTGTCAATGGCAACTCATTTGGTACTTCGTGGTAGTATTTCTTCATCTCGAATTACATTGAATCACGTAATGATGTACGGAAATTACCGATGTGTTGCGAATGCAAATAGATGGAAAGGAGATAACTCTAAATGTGTTTTTCTTGTCAGCAAAATCTAGCGATGGCTACAGAACTATTTGTTCCCGTGCTTCAAACAATTCAAAATTAACATAAAGGTGTTCGGTAAGATAAATACGTTGTTCACTGGTCCCTCGGGTCCCATGGGTTGATGTACCCTCGATGTTTGCTGATATACCAGGGTAAATAACAGGGCATCTGGGATTCAGATCCAATGCCAATTGGATCCTGCTTTAGCTATGGGGAGCAACTCTGTACAGCAGCACCCCTAGATCATTGCACCATCCCTATTTATGCATGGGTTGATGTTCCTTCGGGCTCAGGGAACATGAACAAACATCGAGGGTACATCAACCCATGCCCCCTTAGTGACCAGTGAACAACTTACATTGTGGTGTTCATAAGCATCATTATCAACATTTAAAGTGTTCGGATTACTTACCACATAACGAGGTGCACAATGCACATCGTGATCTCATTCAGTTCCACAAGAAACTTGAAGACAACCCGACCTTTAGGTCCTAGTTTACCAAGCACTGCTCCAAATACTGTACAATATAGCAACATCCCTGTAGAAGAAGAAAACGTCCATTACAGATGCTAGATGCTCACGCTATAGTCGAACGCTATAATGGAACGATGGACTCTGCATTTAATACATATTTGTATGATTATGGAAAAGGTTGTGACGTTTTATATTATTTTGTCGATTCTGACGAAAGAATGTTAAAAACAATTGGTACTTTGCCGTAGGAAGTTTACACATAATCGTTTTTCTAATGTACACTCATGTGATTGACGTGATATGTTTTACTGGCAACCAAATCTCCTGGTTAGCAATGATTATATTTTGTGGAGAGTAATTGTCAGAGAACCTAATAATCAACCAGTAAATTATAATGATTCCTATGTTGTTCATGCTGCTAAGTTGGATTTCACTTCCAAAGTTCAGTTCTACATTCAGACACTGTTTTAAGTCAGGGCATCGAATCCCTTTCATCAACATAATTTCTTAACCAGTCTTAGTCAAAACAATGACAAACAACATTTTTGAAAAAACACACCACACAAGCAAAGCAAAGCAAAGCAAGACAAAACACGTCAACACCAGAAAATAGTAAACTAGTAAACTAGCGTGAAAACATATTAATGGATCGCCGAAAATTAAGGACCCCGGGTGTTTGCAAAATATTAAATGATGATGCAGTGCAAATATTGAGACGACAGAAAATGGTGTCTTTGGTTGTTTCTTTTCTATGCTACACATCTTATCTGAACAACTTATGAAGAGCAGTCTGTGTTACAAATTATCCCAGCCTTCACATACCCAGAACATTAAATCCGGGTCTGGTGACAGTTTTAGGTGTCCAGATGGGGTTTCCTTGCTCTGTAGTATTTCTCCCATCAGATTCTACCAGAAACGTTGAGTTGGTTACATTCTGGAGCACATATTCATCAGGAGATTCTTTCTTGATATTGTTGAAATCTTCCTTGACGTATACCGTGTGTGAACTTTGAATTGCAGCTCTAACAATATTGTCTGGAAACAGATTTCTGAAAAAAATAACAAATCATCACAAGGAATTACGACATTAATATCACAGTCTTCAGCCCAACATCATCAGTAACATTTGCATCTGCGAACTCTAAATGCGCAAGTGGTGAGGCAATAAGCTAGTGAGGCTAGGCGCCGTGTAACAAATGTATGATGCCTTGTATGCAGTCTATAAACTAAGCAAGTGAAGCTACATATAGCTTTAAGTCACTCCTGGAGTAAATATTCCCTTTTCACTGCCTTAATCATATTTTGAATGGGGCATAACTTATTCAAAAACATATGACAACCTATGCTTCATTGTGACTATGATTAAGGCTGTATTGTAAGACTTCACAGACTCAAGTTAAGACACCTGTTTTTCTGAGTGTAAAATAAATCTACTCGATCTTCAACTTGAAAGTGGACACTAAACTTTGTTTTAACGATACATGATATCAAACATGCTTAGTTGTCTAAGTTTATTTCATAATTGCAGTCACTAGCATAACATATTTTATACTCTAGACATGAGTCAAAATAGGTATGGGGTATATTCCGGCAGGTAAATGACATTTGAGAAAACACGTCGGTATGGGATAATGTCTGGATTCCGTGTCAAAAAGAGCTTATAGCAAGAATGTGTATGTGTACACTTTTACAACAGTATTTTACGCCGCAATCATTGTAAAAGATATTACGCACTGATCAGAAAGGCTTATTGGTATCCTACCACCAAATATACACACCTCTCACACCCTACCCCGAATCTGAAAGGGTTTGAAATATGAATATGGTGTGGAAACATTTGTAAAAAATTTAAATAGACACTCTGATGATCATTGTGTGGCTTCATGATGGGAACAATGCAGTTGACGACAGCCAACCTCGTAGTGTACATCTGGGCGAGGTCTGTAAATATTTTAGAACTGAGGTTGTATTGTGGACCTTCATCAGCTGATCAAGATAGTGATTCCCCATTAACTTCCTTTAATAGAAAAGGTTGAGGTACATGTTATCCCAATTGTCAGTATCATAAACTACAGGCATTTTTTCCATGATCCCAATATAATGAGTCAACGCCAGAGAAAAACCAGTCTCGTTTTGAGGCGAAATTGTGAATAGCCTATCCCATCACAAACACATGCAAAGGCAGGTCAGTAATCAACAGAATGGACAAATGTACAAGTGGAAACACTGTCAATTATGTGGTGTGTGGGAAACGGTATAAAAAGATATACCTAAAGATATTAGGACTGTCAGTCGATAACAAGGCAAGACCAGATAACGTATATCTATAACCGTCATCACTCACCTAATGAGATCAAGAAACATGTCAACTGCCGAAGGAGCATGGAACTCTTCAGACTGCGTGCCCGATGACGTTAGTGTGTCATGTAATCCTGGCTTGATAATAAACACCAGAGCAAAGCCAATACAGATTGCAATGACGGTTGTAGAAATATAGTAGGCCATAGTGAACAGGCCCATCTTTCCCGATGACTTGCTGTTCATGTTAGCGATTCCTGTTAAAACATAAAGTAACGTCAAATGGAATAATCAAATGGAGAACAGACCTTCTTTCCTGATAACGTGGCGTCCACGTTAACAATTCCTTATCAAACAAAAAGTAACTCTAAATGGTGTAATCAAATGGAGAACATGCCCTTCTTTCCTGATAACATGGCGTCCATATTGACAATTCCCTATCAAACAAAAAGTAACTCTAAATGGTGTAATCAAATGGAGAACATGCCCTTCTTTCCTGATAACGTGGCGTCCACGTTAACAATTCCTTATCAAACAAAAGGTAACTCTAAATGGTGTTATCAAATGGAGAACATGCCCTTCTTTCCTGATAACGTGGCGTCCATGTGGACAATTCCCTATCAAACAAAAAGTAACTCTAAATGGTGTATTCAAATGTAGAACATGCCCTTCTTTTCTGATAACGTGGCGTCCATGTGGACAATTCCCTATCAAACAAAAAGTAACTCTAAATGGTGTAATCAAATGGAGAACATGCCCTTCTTTCCTGATAACATGGCGTCCATGTGGACAATTCCCTATCAAACAAAAAGTAACTCTAAATGGTGTAATCAAATGGAGAACATGCCCTTCTTTCCTGATAACATGGCGTCCATGTGGACAATTCCTATCAAACAAAAAGTAACTATACATGGTGTAATCAAATGGAGAACATGCCCTTCTTTCCTGATAACATGGCGTCCATGTGGACAATTCCTTATCAAACAAAAAGTAACTCTAAACGGTGTTATCAAATGGAGAACATGCCCTTCTTTCCTGATAGCATGGCGTCCATGTGGACAATTCCTATCAAACAAAAAGTAACTCTAAATGGTGTATTCAAATGTAGAACATGCCCTTCTTTCCTGATAACGTGGCGTCCATGTGGACAATTCCCTATCAAACAAAAAGTAACTCTAAATGGTGTAATCAAAAGGAGAACATGCCCTTCTTTCCTGATAACGTGGCGTCCATGTGGACAATTCCCTATCAAACAAAAAGTAACTCTAAATGGTGTATTCAAATGTAGAACATGCCCTTCTTTCCTGATAACGTGGCGTCCATGTTGACAATTCCTTATCAAACAAAAAGTAACTCTAAATGGTGTAATCAAATGGAGAACATGCCCTTCTTTCCTGATAACATGGCGTCCATGTGGACAATTCCTATCAAACAAAAAGTAACTCTACATGGTGTAATCAAATGGAGAACATGCCCTTCTTTCCTGATAACATGGCGTCCATGTGGACAATTCCTTATCAAACAAAAGTAACTCTAAACGGTGTAATCAAATGGAGAACATGCCCTTCTTTCCTGATAACATGGCGTCCATGTGGACAATTCCTTATCAAACAAAAAGTAACTCTAAATGGTGTATTCAAATGTAGAACATGCCCTTCTTTCCTGATAACGTGGCGTCCATGTGGACAATTCCTATCAAACAAAAGTAACTCTAAATGGTGTAATCAAATGGAGAACATGCCCTTCTTTCCTGATAACATGGCGTCCATGTGGACAATTCCTTATCAAACAAAAAGTAACTCTAAATGGTGTAATCAAATGGAGAACATGCCCTTCTTTCCTGATAACATGGCGTCCATGTGGACAATTCCTATCAAACAAAAAGTAACTCTACATGGTGTAATCAAATGGAGAACATGCCCTTCTTTCCTGATAACATGGCGTCCATGTGGACAATTCCTTATCAAACAAAAAGTAACTCTAAACGGTGTTATCAAATGGAGAACATGCCCTTCTTTCCTGATAACATGGCGTCCATGTGGACAATTCCTATCAAACAAAAAGTAACTCTAAATGGTGTATTCAAATGTAGAACATGCCCTTCTTTCCTGATAACGTGGCGTCCATGTGGACAATTCCCTATCAAACAAAAAGTAACTCTAAATGGTGTAATCAAATGGAGAACATGCCCTTCTTTCCTGATAACGTGGCGTCCATGTGGACAATTCCCTATCAAACAAAAAGTAACTCTAAATGGTGTATTCAAATGTAGAACATGCCCTTCTTTCCTGATAACGTGGCGTCCATGTTGACAATTCCTTATCAAACAAAAAGTAACTCTAAATGGTTATATCAAATGGAGAACATGCCCTTCTTTCCTGATAACATGGCGTCCATGTGGACAATTCCTATCAAACAAAAAGTAACTCTACATGGTGTAATCAAATGGAGAACATGCCCTTCTTTCCTGATAACATGGCGTCCATGTGGACAATTCCTTATCAAACAAAAAGTAACTCTAAACGGTGTAATCAAATGGAGAACATGCCCTTCTTTCCTGATAACATGGCGTCCATGTGGACAATTCCTTATCAAACAAAAAGTAACTCTAAATGGTGTATTCAAATGTAGAACATGCCCTTCTTTCCTGATAACGTGGCGTCCATGTGGACAATTCCCTATCAAACAAAAAGTAACTCTAAATGGTGTAATCAAATGGAGAACATGCCCTTCTTTCCTGATAACATGGCGTCCATGTGGACAATTCTTATCAAACAAAAGTAACTCTAAATGGTGTAATCAAATGGAGAACATGCCCTTCTTTCCTGATAACATGGCGTCCATGTGGACAATTCCTATCAAACAAAAAGTAACTCTACATGGTGTAATCAAATGGAGAACATGCCCTTCTTTCCTGATAACATGGCGTCCATGTGGACAATTCCTTATCAAACAAAAAGTAACTCTAAACGGTGTTATCAAATGGAGAACATGCCCTTCTTTCCTGATAACATGGCGTCCATGTGGACAATTCCTATCAAACAAAAAGTAACTCTAAATGGTGTATTCAAATGTAGAACATGCCCTTCTTTCCTGATAACGTGGCGTCCATGTGGACAATTCCCTATCAAACAAAAAGTAACTCTAAATGGTGTAATCAAATGGAGAACATGCCCTTCTTTCCTGATAACGTGGCGTCCATGTGGACAATTCCCTATCAAACAAAAAGTAACTCTAAATGGTGTATTCAAATGTAGAACATGCCCTTCTTTCCTGATAACGTGGCGTCCATGTTGACAATTCCTTATCAAACAAAAGTAACTCTAAATGGTTATATCAAATGGAGAACATGCCCTTCTTTCCTGATAACATGGCGTCCATGTGGACAATTCCTATCAAACAAAAGTAACTCTACATGGTGTAATCAAATGGAGAACATGCCCTTCTTTCCTGATAACATGGCGTCCATGTGGACAATTCCTTATCAAACAAAAAGTAACTCTAAACGGTGTAATCAAATGGAGAACATGCCCTTCTTTCCTGATAACATGGCGTCCATGTGGACAATTCCTTATCAAACAAAAAGTAACTCTAAATGGTGTAATCAAATGGAGAACATGCCCTTCTTTCCTGATAACATGGCGTCCATGTGGACAATTCCTATCAAACAAAAAGTAACTCTAAATGGTGTAATCAAATGGAGAACATGCCCTTCTTTCCTGATAACATGGCGTCCATGTGGACAATTCCTTATCAAACAAAAAGTAACTCTAAACGGTGTAATCAAATGGAGAACATGCCCTTCTTTCCTGATAACATGGCGTCCATGTGGACAATTCCTTATCAAACAAAAAGTAACTCTAAATGGTGTAATCAAATGGAGAACATGCCCTTCTTTCCTGATAACGTGGCGTCCATGTGGACAATTCCTTATCAAACAAAAAGTAACTCTAAATGGTGTAATCAAATGGAGAACATGCCCTTCTTTCCTGATAACATGGCGTCCATGTGGACAATTCCTTATCAAACAAAAAGTAACTCTAAACGGTGTTATCAAATGGAGAACATGCCCTTCTTTCCTGATAACATGGCGTCCATGTGGACAATTCCTATCAAACAAAAAGTAACTCTAAATGGTGTATTCAAATGTAGAACATGCCCTTCTTTCCTGATAACGTGGCGTCCATGTGGACAATTCCCTATCAAACAAAAAGTAACTCTAAATGGTGTAATCAAATGGAGAACATGCCCTTCTTTCCTGATAACATGGCGTCCATGTGGACAATTCCCTATCAAACAAAAAGTAACTCTAAATGGTGTATTCAAATGTAGAACATGCCCTTCTTTCCTGATAACGTGGCGTCCATGTTGACAATTCCTTATCAAACAAAAAGTAACTCTAAATGGTGTAATCAAATGGAGAACATGCCCTTCTTTCCTGATAACATGGCGTCCATGTGGACAATTCCTATCAAACAAAAAGTAACTCTACATGGTGTAATCAAATGGAGAACATGCCCTTCTTTCCTGATAACATGGCGTCCATGTGGACAATTCCTTATCAAACAAAAAGTAACTCTAAACGGTGTAATCAAATGGAGAACATGCCCTTCTTTCCTGATAACATGGCGTCCATGTGGACAATTCCTTATCAAACAAAAAGTAACTCTAAATGGTGTAATCAAATGGAGAACATGCCCTTCTTTCCTGATAACATGGCGTCCATGTGGACAATTCCTATCAAACAAAAAGTAACTCTAAATGGTGTAATCAAATGGAGAACATGCCCTTCTTTCCTGATAACATGGCGTCCATGTGGACAATTCCTTATCAAACAAAAAGTAACTCTAAACGGTGTAATCAAATGGAGAACATGCCCTTCTTTCCTGATAACATGGCGTCCATGTGGACAATTCCTTATCAAACAAAAAGTAACTCTAAATGGTGTAATCAAATGGAGAACATGCCCTTCTTTCCTGATAACGTGGCGTCCATGTGGACAATTCCTTATCAAACAAAAAGTAACTCTAAATGGTGTAATCAAATGGAGAACATGCCCTTCTTTCCTGATAACATGGCGTCCATGTGGACAATTCCTTATCAAACAAAAAGTAACTCTAAATGGTGTAATCAAATGGAGAACAAGTCATCTCTCCTGGTGACGTGTTGGCCATGGTAACAACTCCTATTTAAAAATAGATTAACTCTAAAGGGAAAAATCAATTGGAGATCGTGCCCAACTTTCCCGTCGATATATTGTCCATGGTAACAATTCCTATTTACATGCCCATCTTTCCTGATGACTTGCTTTCCATGTTAACAGTTCCTGTTAGAACACAAAGAGAAGAATGATAAAACATTTTAAACTGTAAATGTTTACGCATGAAGGTGGATTTCAGACCTAAAGCGCGGGTTGCAAATATATCGGGGCTATGATAATATATAAACGTGCACTGACTTCATGAGGTTACATGCATAACTGACTGTCTGCTGTTTGATAAATGAATGAATCGTGACGAGACTTGAACATTTATGGAAATGTGAATCCATACAGTAGTCTTCATTTTTCATATATACTAATTATCCTCTGTTAAATGTATCCAAAACCAAATGTTATTATACATCAATGCTGTACTAGTGATGACACCAGGAGTTCGCTAATAGGACAAACATGGCCTGTCCTACCGCTAGCAATTAGAATAGAGAGGACGTATTAATAGCCCGAGACAGTACAGCAGTATTCGTAGACTAACGCTTAATCTCTGAAATATATGTATATTTTGACAGAAACAAACAATTCCATTTAAATTGAAAAAGCACCCTAGTGAGATGGGAGATCCTGAACCCGAGGAAATGTCGTCTTGCTTCATTTAGCGTTGAAGAAAGGGCTTGACAGAAGAGAAATAATGCTGTTCAGGGACTATGAGACAGACTACAAACAAACCAGACAAAAACGTTTAGTTCAGACAGATTCCACTGTACCTGTGATCATGCTTGCAACAATCAGCGGAAGTATGAGCATGTTCAACATCCTCATGACTATATCCCCAGGGAGACTGATGAGTAGGATGGTGTCCCCGGAGAGATGCAGCTGACGAAACAGCAACCCGATGGTCACGCCCATCACTGCAGAGATGACGGTTAGGATGAGCAGGATGTTGGCCTTCAAACAGGTCTTTAACGCCATCTTGAAAAATAGAATAGCTTTAATGATCATCGAGACGTCATGTCAGAATCGTTATGAGTTTTTCATATATGGCTGTAAGTGTATGTGTGTGTGTGTGTGTGAGAGAGAGAGAGAGAGAGAGAGAGAGAGAGAGAGAGAGAGAGAGAGAGAGAGAGAGAGAGAGAGAGAGAGAGAGAGAGAGAGAGAGAGAGAGAGCTTACAACGTCGCTTTTCTGCAGTAGGCTATACATACGAACAATACATCTAAAATGAGTTCGACACAACCGTGAATTCGACACCTAGTTGGAGACATCAGGGTAAATATAGTGACAAATATAAGGAAATCGGCAGGGACCGAGAAATGAGTTCGAAATAACCGAGAATTCGTCTCAGATGAGTTCGAGACATTGGGGTTCGGCTGTATATACTGGTATCGAATGAATACTGTGGTGTGAGTATTTTTATTTGTATTTGAGGGGAATATGTATCTTATATTTACTAAAAACGTATAGTAGTTTTTTTAAAAGAACGTGTTTTCCATTGTCGTTTTCCAATTTCATAAACCAAATGCAAAATCATCCCCTGGTAACTGCGAAATAATAAAGGAAACAACAACAATGATATGATTTCAAGTAGTTTTGTTCGGAGAAAGGACAGTTTTGACATCCATTTTTCCACTAAAAAGAGGGCCTGATATTTTTATTTTCGAGAAATATGTTTTTAGGAATCTTGCAAGTCCAGCGAAAGTTTCTCTTTTATGAACGTGAGGCAAAATTGCAACCTCTGCGGATATGGTACAGCTTTTTTCAGTTTTAGGCACTAAAACGATATGAACAGTCAAGTCAAGTAAAAAGAGTTTATTGTATTTAAGGCTTTCGGCCCACATACAAATATACATTTGTAAATAATATACAATAATGTACAGTACACATAATGGAGAGAACAAAATGACAGGCTATTGTCATATTTTTTGTTTTAGCGTTTTAAATTGTTTAACAGTTCATTTCTAAGTCTCATGCTATGTTTGACAAATAGTGACAGATTAAGAATATCATTATCATATTGAGAAGAGATTAAGGATGTAAAAGCTAGAGCAGGTGTTTTTGACAAAAACGGGTATGCAATATATTTGCTTCTGAGAGTGGAGTAGGATCGACAAACTAGCATAAAGTGGATTTCATTCTCAACTGCTGATTTACATAACGGACAAATTCTCCTGTTCTTATCTGTGGACATTTTCCTTCGTTTATCATTAAATCTAGCAAACCAAGTCTAAATTTGATAAAAATATTTCTTAAATATTTAGAATATAAAATAGACAAATATTTTTCAGGCTGAAGTAAACTTTTAAATGTCCTGTAACAATCATACCTTGAGTGAGTGAGTTGGGTTTTACGTCGCTTTTAGCAATATTCCAGCAACATCACGACGGGGACACCAGAAATGGGCTTCACATATTGTGCCCATGTGGGGAATCGAACCCGGGTCTTCGGCGTCGGGCCAACGCTTTAACCATTAGGCTACCCCACCGCCCCAATCATACCTTGAGCTGTCATGACTTTTCGAAGGGTAGAATGCCAAAAGCTTGGTATTTAAAATTATATAAAAGAGATTGATGATTTGGTTCATCCAAATATAACCCAAACCAAGAGAGAATAAATGTTTCTTACATGGAATTCCCATGTTTTTTTACCAATGTTTTGTAAATGTAAAAGCATATCAAAAGGCAGCATTGAAATTTATTTCCATGTGTCAGTAAGTTTTATTCAATACATGTATTTCCAGCATTAATCTAAGAATGTATATATAATGGGTGTTTTCCACATTCGACATAAATCATACAGTTTGGTATAGATACTCCAACGGAAAAATATCCTGTACATGCTAAAAGGTGATTTTTTTCTAAACAAGCATATCTTTGGTAACCCCAAGTATCAGATCCATATATAACATTATTCAATGAGTTTTAAAAAATATTTTAGGTGATGTAATTCCAATTTTATATGAAACAGGAATAACGTTGAATAGGGCTTTCTTTGCTCTTGATACTAAATCTTCTAAGCTTTTAGAAAAGTTCATTGTATGAAAGTCCCGCATATTTTTTCCAATTCGTTATTTTATTATTTAATACAGCTGTGAATATTTTGCCCAGAATACTCATAAGTGAAATGCCTCTATAGTTATCGGGATCATCAAATTTCCCCCTCTTATGTAGAGGAACAATAACTGAAGAAGACCAGCTTGTTGGAAACATACCATTATCAAATAGTCTATTGAAACAGTTTATCAGAAATGGCATGATTACGAATTCCGAACATTTTATCATTTCTGTGATGATATGAGGGGCAAAATAAACGACTGTAAATATTTAGTATATCTTCGGAAATTCAAAATAGTATGTCTTGTTGAGACATTTTTTTATCGACATGTCAATTATGAATTGGTTGGACGCTTTTCTATAGTCCAACAGTACACAGCATTGTTTCCATTTTTTTGTATCCCGTAAAAAAACCCTGTTTGTATGTATGTACAGTCAGTGGTCCGGAAGCGTCCTAGTGCCACAGTCTGAATTTTTTTATCTCCTAATTAGGACTTACTATCTCCTAATTAGGAGATACTATCTCCTAATTAGGAGATAGCTAAGTCCTAATTAGGAGATAGTAACTCCTAATTGGGAGATAGTATCTCCTAATTAGGAGATAGCTAAAGTCCTAATTGGGAGATAGCTAAGTCCTAATTGGGAGATAGTAACTCCCTAATTGGGAGATAGTATCACCTAATTGGGAGATAGTAACTCCTAATTGGGAGATGGTATCTCCTAATTAGGAGATAGCTAAGTCCTAATTAGGAGATAGCTAAGTCCTAATTAGGAGATAGTAACTCCTAATTAGGAGATAGTATCACCTAATTAGGAGATAGTAACTCCTAATTAGGAGATAGTATCTCCTAATTAGGAGATAGCTAAGTCCTAATTAGGAGATAGTAAGTCCTAATTAGGAGATACTAAGTCCTAATTAGGTGATAAAAAAATTCAGACTGTGGCACTAGGACGCTTCCGTACAAATCTGCAAAGATCGCAACGAAATTTCGCATGTTTTTTTCTTAATGGTGTGTATGATAGCGAGTATGTTTTGGCAGTTATTTCCCTTTGCTTACCTTCGGAATATCGTCTGCTTGAAGATGACCTCTCACGGCTGTCAACTTACCCCTGATCAGAAAGATGTTATCATAACTTTATCACAGCAAGGTAAATCTAGTTACAAAATCGCAGATTTACTTGAAATTAATCCAAGAACTGTACAAAAATGTATCAAGCGTTATAATCAAGTCGGATCGAACGAAAACAGACCAAGAAGCGGAAGGACGAGAAAATCGTCACCGAGGGGTGAAAGAAATTATTTCGTCTCGTTAAAAGATGACATTACAACTAAATTTAATGCACAATCAACTCATACAGTGTCTACTAGAACTGTTCGCAGACGATTGTTCACTGAGGGCTACAGGCGGCGGCAAGTATCGAAGAAAGTCACAATATCACCGGTCAACAGGGAACGCCGTTTACGATTTTGTTGCACTAAATTGCATTGGACCCGAAATGAGTGGCGAAAAATCATATTTAGTGATGAGACACAAGTAGTGATTGGCAGAGATAGAAAAGTGTTTATTTGGCGCAAAAGAAATGAACGTTTACTGCCCGAATGTTTAGGGGTCCGCACGGATCATGGCAGCAGAAAGGTGATATCGGCTATGTTTTGGGGGTGCCTCACCTATCATGGAGTGGGAACACTGACATATGTGGATGGAAATATGAACACCGACAAATATACTGAACATCACTGAAAACGTACCAGTCTAAAATTGTCCATATTTTCATCAAGATGGATTTCAGCATGAAAATGATCAATGAATATAACTAACATGAAGTCGAAGGGCATGTCCAATTGAAAAAATGCTTTAGAAACAAATTCCTGTCCACAGTATGACTCTTTATTCCAAATGTATCAACATGCTGCCATGATAAAAGCGCGAATTTCATTCTGAAATCATACTGACTGTGACATTAAAAGCAGGTGTATGAGAACCGATTCTCATTGCTTCACTAACGATTGTGAAACGAGGACAGAGATGCCAAGGTTAACACCAAACAAAAGAGAACGTGCACTAGGTATGATTCAGGTTGGCACCACCAGCAGGGATATTGCTCGACAACTTGGATTTGGCCACTCCACCATCGTTAGGCTTCATAGACGACATCAGTAGACAGGCAGCACCCGTGACCTTCAATGACCTTGGCAACAACATGTTACGACGCTCCATCAGGATCGCCATATTGACCTTGTCCATATCAGTGATTGAACACTGCCAACTGCCAGGACTGCTGCACTAGTTCACGGTTGACGTGGGGGGTCATCAGCGCTGACTCCATGCGACGCCGTCTACACGCTACAGGGCTCCATGCTCGACGTCCTTACGTTGGACCAATTCTGACTGACAGACACCGTAATGAGTGTATACAATGGGCTAGCAGGCATTTTCAGTAAAGGTTACAACAATGGCATGGTGTGGTAGTCACTGACGAGTCTTCATCTACGTAATGCTGACGGCCGATTACGTGTTTGGCGTAGACGTGGTGAACGTTATGCTGATGAGTGTGTGGTTCAGACAGTGTCATGGTCTGGGGTGGAATAAATTACAATCACAGGACTGCCTTCATGTCTGTCAAGGGGAGAGTTAATGCCCTTTATTACCGTGAGCAGATTCTTCAGAATCACAGCGTATCTGTCTTCAATGACCGCCAAGATGTCCATACTTTTCAACAGGACAAGGCACGGGCACAAACAACAAGACTTTCCATGCAGTATCTGGCCCAGCAACACATCCAGGTTATACATTGGCCAGCACAGTCGCCAGATGTATCCCCCATGGAGAACTTGTGGGACGAAATTGGTCAAAGTCTTTCGCGGCGACAACAGATGCGAAACATCCGGGAACTTGAGGCTGCACTACTGCAGAAGTGGAAT